GAAGAGATGGTGGACTTAGAAGAGGAACAAGAAGAACTCTCTCTTTCTCTCTCGTAGTCCGGTACTGACCTCTGAAGGTGGCGCCTTGTTGCAGGTACATGGAAGCCGAAGCTGGAGCTATGGCGCCACAGGTAAGTCTCCCTGGCCTCCGCCCTTCTCTCTCTCTCCAATCGCTACTCTACCTCCTAGCAGCGCCCAGAGCTGAAGACTACTCTAGCGCTACTACTACTACTGCAGCACTCCTCCAGAGTGCTGCTGCCGCATCCTGAAGACTGCCTCCTGCCTCCTGAACTGCTTGTGAAGTCCTGTGAACTACTCGTGAACTTCGTGCAGCCTGCAGGACGGGCCAGTTCTATATAGTGCTGGCCCGTCCATGAGGCTGCTCTTGCCAATGCCGAAATGTGCCAGATCCTGGCGTTGGAGTTCAAACAAAGGTTGTCTTGAAACAGGCCCAAAATGGCCTGTGCCAAACCGTGGTCTGGTGCCTGAGTTTCAGGGCAGGTCGACTTCATGAGGGCCTGAAAATGGCCCTCGTTTCATGCTTTTAGGCTGAGACGACACAGGGTCTGTAGGCCCTTGTTTTCAGGCTTTTAGGCTGAAACGACACAAGGCGTGTAGGCCCTTGTTTCTACACCGGTCGGGCCCTGCAGACCCGTGTGGCTGCAAAGTATGCCACGCTCCCCCCTCCTTGAAAGACAGAGCTTACCTGCGAGGGCAAACCTGCCTGTCTGAGGGAGGGACCAAAGTCCGGGTGGGAGGGGCAGGTCGTGAAACTTCCTTAGCTTACCTTTGTCGTTCGTACTGAGCGTAGATCAGCGGTGCAGATGCTTTCAAATCTGCTCCTGAAATCCATCGAGTGTCGTCGGGATTGCATGCTTTGAAGGTAACTTTGTACTGTTGAGGCTTGCTGTCGTACTTGCGATCCGTGATGACGCGGTCGACTTCCTGATGGCCATCCATAGATGGAGGGTCTTGCGATCGTCGGCCCGGGAAGTCGTCGCTCTTAGCTGGTGTATATGTCGCCAGCTTCGAGGCGTGAAAGATTGGATGGACCGTCAGATGCGGGGGATGTTGATTACAAATGAGGGGCCATCGGGCTCATCGCCCGCGGCCGATGTTACGGGCCATGGTCCAAACCACTTGGGGAGTAGTTTGCGCGAAACATGCAAACTCTTCCCCCGAGACCCAAACCAGATCACCGGTGCGGATGGGACATGGCACGCGACGCCTGTTGGCTTGTTGCTGCATGCGAACTTGAGCTTTTTGCATGTTCGTGCGGGCTTGAGCCAGCAATTCCCTGTACTTCCGGATGGAAGCGGGGGAGCAAGCAACGTCTATGTCGGTTGTTTGTGGGAGGAGAAAATCAGCGAAGATACGGTCTTTCCGGCCACCGTGGTGCAACTCGAATGGAGCCACACCGATCGCCAGATGGAACGAAGTGTTGTAGGCGGACTCGATGTCGGGGAGGCGGTTAACCCAACCCTTCTGATCCGGACGAATGAACGTACAAAGCATCATTTGAGCGGTTTGATGTGCTTGCTCCGTTTGCCCGTCCGTTTGTGGATGCCGAGCCGAACTTGGTTTCATCTTGGTGTCGGATTCGTGTATGAGAGAAGTCCAAAATGCCGACATGAAACGAGTGTTGTGGTCGCTGACGATCTCTTCTGCTACGTTGTGGCTGCAAATCCAGTCGGTGTGCAAGAGGCGCACAAGTTTGGGAGTCGTGACGTAGTACTTGGAAGGGAGAAACAGCGGGTACTTATTCAAGCAGTCAACGACCGTGAGGATGCCGTCGTGCCCGAGGCGGTCGCCAGGAAACGGACCGGTGACGTCCATGGCAATGGAGACGCCAGGTTCTCGTGGGATAGGCATCGGGCGCAACTCGTCGTAAGGGTTGCGGTTGCGGGGCTTGCTTCGTCGGCAAACTTCGCACGAGTCGCAATAGTGAGTGACATTGGTAATGAGGTTGGGCCACCGGAATCGTTGCCGAAGTCGTGCAATAGTGCGATTGACTCTGAAATGGCCGGCGAGTCACGAGTCGTGGTACTCGCCGAGAAGGCGAGTCCGAAGACGACGGTCTCGTGGAACACAATAAGTCATTGCCTCGCGAGTGGAGGAGCGAGTACTCGTCGACGATTCGATAGTGGCTAGCCGGCGGGTGATCCGAAGATAGTTGTGCATACAGCGTGGCGAAATCCGGATCGGACTCATAGCCCTGGATGAAGTGTCGCTGGAGTTCCTCGTCGAACGCGAAGGCATGATGTGTCATAGCGCAAAGATCGGGTCCTCGTGAGAGTGCATCTGCTGCGCGATTGGAGAGGCCGGCGAGATGTTTCTGTGTGAAGTCAAATTGGTTGATGAAGTACATCCATCGTCTGATCGTGATATTCACCGTATCCTCTGTCTTGTAGTAGGTCAACGGGTTGTTGTCAGTGACCCATGTGAACCTATTTTTTCGAGGAGGAAGTGCCACCAGTGCTTGAGAGCCATCACGAACGCAAGTAGATCCTTCTTCCTTGCATCATGAAGTGAGTTGATGGGAGGCACTTTGTGGCTGAAATACTCCTTGGGGTGCCAATCGTCGTCGTCGTGTTGTTCCAAGACTGCCCCAATGCCATAGTCGGAAGAGTCAGTTGTCACTCTCATTGGCAAGGTGGGGTCGTAGATGCTAAGGACGGGTGCCATGAGCATGGCCGTCTTGAGTGCTTGGAATGACCGGCGCTCATCGTCATCGAATACGAATGGCACCTTTGGCGATTGTAATCTCGTCAATGGTGTTGCAATCCTTACCGGTGATGAAGCGTTGATAGTAGCCCGCCAATCCCATGAATGAGCGAACGTCCGTGGTGTTGGTGGGCTCGGCCGCTCGGGCCATACGCGGATGGTCTCGATCTTGTCCGCAAGCGGACGGATGTCTTACGGTGCACATAATGGCCCAAGTACTCGAGCTCTTGCCGCGCGAATTCGCATTTGTCGCGGTTGGCTTTGTACTTGGCTTGTCGTAGTCGTTCCAAAACAGTGCGCATGTGCTCCACATGCCCGTCCAAACAGCGACTATACACCAAGATATCGTCGAGGTTGAGAAGATCGCCGATGCGCGGGAGAGGGCCGGTGTTCTTGACGTTTTGCGCGTTGAGCTTGCGATAATCGATGTGCAACCGCAAATCCTTATTCTTCTTCCGGACGAGGAGAACGGGAGCACCATATGGCGAAGAGCTAGGCCGAATCCAGCCTTTCGCGAGAAGGTCGTCGAGTTGTGCTTGTAGCACGCTTAACTCTTCCTCGCTCATGCAGTAGATGTAACCACGCGGAGGTACGGCCCCGGCCTCTAGGATGATCTCGTGGCGGATGGGCCGATCCGGTACTACCTTGTGCGGGGCTTCGAACACTTCGCTGTAGGCGTCGAGGAGCTCGGTGATGCGTGGGTCCGGTGATGAGTCCGTCAATGGAATGTCATTGGGAGGTAGGGCGTGGAGAAAACACACCCCCATCTCCTCGATGTCGTCCCTAGTGATGGAAGCTCGAATGCTTGCGGCGGACACCACGTGGCAGCTGATCGATGGGTGAGGAGGAGGCACTATGCATGGGACTAGTACTCCGTTCCGATCATGAACGTGAACGGTGCGACGGTAGAAGTTCATCGGTTGATCCTCGCTTCGCAGCCATGACATGCCCAAAATCATGTCAAACTGGGTGTCCAAAATGTCGAAGGACACGGCCTCGCTTGCATGCGGGGCGAAGTACACGGGCACGGAATCAACGCACCGGTCGATTGACTTGTGCGTGTGACCGTCGGCCAACGTGACTTGCGTGGGCTGCAACTTCCTCCGAACGCGTGGCCCAAGGCTAGCGTGTACCATAAAGTCTTGGCTCATGTAGTTCCGAGTAGCTCCACAATCGATCAAAGCGCTACAGGTCGCTTCTCCGATCTGAATGCGTGTGTATAACAATGGCAATGGCACGTCGATGTCGTCGTACCGTTCTGTCTTGAACTCGCGGTCGATCTTCGCAACGTGGTCGTGAAGGTCAACAACCTCTACTCCGGCGTCCATCAACGGATCTGGTATTGCAGTGTGCAAGTAATCCCGCAATTGTGCCATGAGCACGTTGCAATGCGGTTTCGGCAATCGATCGGTCGGGGGAAGGGGCATCCTTTAGAAGTCCGCGAACGTCAATGGGTCAAGCTCTTCAAGTCTTGACCATGACGTCGAATGCCCGACGAAATTTGGCGGCGAAGCTGCCGAATCGGTTGCCGATGGTGGTGAAACCGTGCATGTGGTGGATTGTGGCACGTGGAGTGGCTGGTCCAACGGTGGGACCAACTGGACAGCGTAATCCTTGTACGTGAACCGAGGACTCGCGACATCCGTATTCTCCCCAGATGTGTAGGAGGCCGCTAGCAAGGCGTCCGAATCTGGCGGAGTGAGAGGTGGAGTCGCATCACCTCCCGCGCAACTCAGTTTCCGGAGTTGATGCGATCTGGGCATTGGGAGGTTTTGTGCTTGGTGCTGTTGCACCAATAGCAGCAGCCATACCGGTTGCGCCACTTGTATTCGGCCTCGATCAAGTGAAACTTAACCCATGGTACTGGCTGTCCGTTTCTGGTCGGCGATGCGGTTTTCGCCCTCCCTTTTCCACACGAGTTGTTGTTGCTTCGCGGCTGGACAGCGGCCACCTGATCTCCGTCACGTGATGCTTGGGTGGTTGCCGAGTCTTCCGCAACGATGTCCAGTTGGACTGCAACGACATGCTGCGGACGCGGACCAAATTTTCCTTTCTCCACATGGGCTGGCTGCCACGCTGACTTCTCATGTGCAACAGTCGAGTTGGTCTTGATGATCTCTCGCGCCTTGTCGATGATTTCGGCAAAGGTCGTGTACTGCTCGCGATCACCAAGTGCAAGGCTCAAGGCGGCACACAACCGGTTGTAGAACTCCCGGCGTAGATGCGGAAATGGCAAGTCAAGATCGGGCGTTGCCACGATCTTTTGCCACTCCGTGAGCCAGTCACGTGTTGGTGTGTTGCCTTGAGTCGTGCTGAAGAGGCGGTTGATGGTGAACGTCGGGGCGTCGTCAACGATGAACCGCTTCTTCCATTGTGTCGTCAGATCTGCCCAAGAGATCTTCGTGTGTGGATCGGCGACCTCGATGTCGTGGATGGTTGCAAGGTGGCTGAGCCAGATCTGGCATCCGCCCTTTATGTCGAGGAACAACGCCCCGATGTACGAGCGCTTGGGGACGTGATGAATCCAAAGTTTTGTTGTAAAGCCTTCCCACCAGGGGACCGAGTCTTGATGTGTATAGTCATCAAACTTTTCGATCCGGAATATCGACATTTTGTACTCTTGCGTACTGGTGCTGCCCTCGTTGTCGGGCTGCTGCAGTTGTCGAACCTCATTCTTCAAGACGTCTAGCTGTTCGCTGATGGTGGCTGGTGCGGCGAAGGGGCTGATGTCGGCGAGCATTTCAATTACATGGTCCACTTGTTGCTCCAACTGGCGGGTTGAGGCTGCACTGCTGGGCTCTCCAGCATCTGGTCTTGGTGCTGCTTGCTCCAAGTCTTGTACACGGGAATCAAGTGCCCATGTAGCACCCTCGTGCAGATCCTTGTGGTTCCGCACTACCCGTCGGAGGTTCTCCAGGTCCTGGTGCTGTTTCGCCATTTCCTGGTGTTGTTTCTCGAACTTGGACTGCAGGTGGTTACAAGTGTAAAACAACCGGGTCACGAGTTTGGAGAGGAACTCCTTGTGCTGCTCCTCCGGTGTTGCGTCGTCGTGGCCCTTGGATGGTTCAAAGAGCCAGAACTTGAGCTTGTCGACGCTGGCTGCTTTGTGCCGCTGCAGCAGCGCTTGGGCCTCCTTGCGGAGGGCCTGGGCATCTGCTTCTGCTTCGGCCTGTAGCCGCTGCTTTTCAGCTGCTGCCTCTGCTTCAGCCTGTAGGCGGGCAGCCTCGACTGCCATCTGGCGCTGTTCCTCAGCCTCGATCAGTGCGTGCTGAGCTTGGAACTGCTGTCGGCACTCGGCAATGAACTCATTGGCCAGTTGGCCCGACATGCCCAAAGCTGGAACTGTCGTGATGGCGGGGCACTGTTGGTACTGCTGACGTGCCACTGTGACTGATGTGGCACTGCTGACATGGTACTGCTGACGTGGCACTTACCAAACCGGGAATGCAGGCAAAGGGTTGGGTGGGAGGAAAAACGCAGGAAGGTAACTAACCAAATGGTACTTTCCTCCTGGTCCTAATCAACAGAATAAAGAAAATAAAAAATACAAGAAGAGGATCACCCCCCCCCCCCTTTTTTTTTTTTGTATATCTGTCGATCTGCTATGAGCGAGATCTATGCAAGGTTCCGCAAAGTTTCGGCTTTTCAAAAATGCGATCTTGAAATTTTTTTTTTGCACGAAATAGACTAGAGGTTCCACTTTCAGAGAAGAATAGATCCAGTCCGAGAATATGACAACCTCCCTAGTTCACCTAATATGCCCAGAGTAAAGCAGAAAACGAAATGCTACTATCCGAAGTTCCGAAAAAGAGAATTTTTTTTTTGCAGAGATTTGACGAAGTCCTACTTGATTCACTAATAAACAATCAATCAATCAATCAATCAATCAATCAATCAATCAACAATCAGTCGATCAAGCAAGCTGGCTTCTTGATTGGGCCGATCCTCTGATTGAGAGGTCCGCTCCCATACTAAACTGTCGCATACCATAAACTTAAGGTGCAGACCAGAACAAGAACCGACCTCTCTCACATAGTACAGGATAGTGCAGCGGAAGGCTAAAATACCAATGATCAGCCCAATCAATATTGAAATGCAGACCAAACATACATCATCATCATCGCAAGGTGTGAAGGGCCTGGCACTACACACAGGAAGAATGCGCCAGTGTTACATGCTGCGCCTGCAACAGGCTGCACGGGCCATTTTCAGGCCCGTGTTGTTTTCAGGCTTGTTGTTTTCAGCCTGAAAGCCTAAAAATAAGGGCCTACAGGCCCTGTGTTGTTTTCAGCCTGAAAGTCTGAAAACAAGGGCCTACAAGCCCCGTGTCGTTTCAGCCTGAAAGCCTGAAAACAAGGGCCTATAGGCCCTGTGTCGTTTCAGGCTAAATCAGGGCCTTTCCGGCCCTGAGTATTTTCAGCCTGAAACTGAGGGCCATTTTCAGACCCTCATAAGATCGACCTGCCCTGAAACTCAGGCACCAGACCAGGGTTTTAGCTCAGGCCATTTTTGGCCTATTTTTAAGACAACCTTTGTTTGAGCTTCAACCCCAGGGCCTGGCACGTTTTGGCATTGGCAAGAGCAGCCTCCTGGACGGGCCAGCACTATATAAGACTGGCCCGCCCTGCAGGCTGCAGGTAGTTGGGATGTAGTTCCTAGGTACTTCCCAGGCACTTCACGTGCAAGGCAGCAGGCAGGAGGTAGTCTTCAGGATTCGGAGCAGCACTCTGGAGGAGCGCTGCAGGAGTAGCGTAGCGTTAGCAGTAGTCTTCAGCGCTGGGTGCTAGTAGCGTTAGCTGTAGTCTTCAGCGCTGGGCGCCATAGCTAGAGTAGTACTAGAGAGAGAGAGATTGGACGGAGGCCAGGGATACTTACCTGCAGCGCCGGTGCTCCAGCTTCGTCTTCGAGGTACCTGCAGCACAACGCCATCGTCACAGGTTAGTACTTGGCATACGAGAGAGAGAGAGAGTTCTTCTTCTTCCTCTTCTCAGTCCACCATCTCCCTCTCCCCCTCTCACTAYCTGACTTCACTGCATCAGCAGACTACGAGAGAAAGAGAAAGCTTGGTGACATGGGATCCAGACTCGACATTTGGGCTTCAGACATTTTGACGAGGGATTATTTGGGACTTGTGACAAAGACTTGGTGTTGATAACATTCCCATCTCTCCATCGTCCGTACAGGCCCTAGACTCAGACGAATTGGACTGGTACCCGTCTAAGCCTAGCCTGCCGCTACTGGGCCTCTAAAAGTGCTCACTTTTTGTCTTCTTCTGCTCGGCCTACTGCTACTCAAGGGCCTACGGGCCTACACTGCTACTTGAGTGTGCCGTAAGCTACCAAAGTTTTTTCCAACTGCAACCCCGAAATCATGGCTGCAGGTAAGTACCGTCCCTACAGCCTCCCAAACAAACAAGTGCCCTGGTGGGCAACACACATACTCAGGCCGACAAGGACTCAGACGGGCACACAGAACAGCACACACACAGCCTTGGAAAACTCAGTAAAGCGGGAATCTCAGCAAGGCATTCATTCCAGTGGCAAAACTCAGGAATCAGCTGTGTTCTCAGTCCTTGTTTTGGCAGGTCCTTACCATTATTATTATTTGGCACTGCCATACAATGGGTCTTCTTCTTCTTTCTCCGCCATCTCCCACCATCACTTTGTATGTGTTTGTTGCCAGCGGGGAGGTTTCTTCCATGATTAGACCATACTTGCGGCGCATCGATGCGCTGCGCGATGCGGTGCGGTGCGCAGCGCGCCGTGCGCCCGTCGGGGATGCGCGCATTGATGCGCGATGCGCGCATCGATGCGCTGCGCGGCACTTGGATGCGCAGTGCGCCAGTGTGCCGGGGCGTGCGCGTGCTGCACGCATTTGCGCGCATGGTGCGCTCGGGCATGGAGGGAAGGGGAGGACAACGACGGAGGGAGGAGGAGATGGGTGACGAGGGAGGGAATGGAGGAGCGAGGAGGAGATCAATAGCGACGGAGGAGGGGGAAGGGAGAAGGGCGGAGGGAGGACGACACCGATGATGGAGGGAAGGGGGGGACAACGACGAAGGGAGGAGGAGATCGATGACGAGGGAGGAGGAGATCGATAGCGAGGAAGGAGGGGGGAAGGGAGAAGTGTGGAGGGAGGGCGACGCCGATGATGGAGGGAGGGGGAGCAGTGGTGCACTATTAAAAATTTCATATATGAAGAAAAAAAAGAAAAAAAGGACGACATGATGGAGGGAGGGGGACGACAGCGATGGAGGGAGGAGGAGATCGATGACAAGAGAGGGAATGGAGGAGGGAGGAGGTGATCGATAACGAGGGAGTGGGGGGAAGGGAGAAGGGCGGAGGGAGGACGACGCCGATGATGCATGAGGGAGGGGGAGGACATCGATGGAGGGAGGAGGAGATCGATGACGAGGGAGGGAAGGGAGGATGGACGAGGAGTTCAATAGCGAGGGAGGAGCGGGAAGGGAGCAGGGCGGAGGGAGGACGACACCGATGATGGAGGGAAGGGGAGGACAATGACGGAGGGAGGAGGAGATCGATGACGAGGGAGGGAA